TTTATTAGGTGTTCTAGTTAGGAGTTAAAAAGTGAGTGTCTAACCATAGACGGAAATTTTGTTTAAATAGATCAAAATAAATTTAATAATATTAAAGATCAATTGTTTTGAATTTTAAAGTCAAATCAAGCCGATATTATTAAATAAATATATTCTATTGTAATGACAATGAATGAAGCTTTGGGTTTTCTTATATCATTTGTTAACAATAAAATTACAAAACGGAATGATATGATACAGCAACTCTAAAAATTTGAGCCAAATCATCATACCTTAACCCTTTATGAATCGGTATGTTTACAAAAGAAATAAATGGGGATTTTACCTAATTATTCATTTAGAAAAATTTTACTTCAGGCAAAAACAAATAGATACTGAATACTTGCAATAGATTAGTGTTCTGGCTGTAGATCAATCTATAGTCTCGACTATAGGTAAGTCTTGGGCATATATCAGTCTATTTTATTGACTCAGATAAGTCTCAGGCTGCATATACTTAGTCTTATTTATAGATCAGTTTATATTGTTGACTAAAGATCAGCCTATAGTCTTAACTATCGATCATTTTATAGTCTGTGATTATAGATTATTCTATAGTTTTAAACTATAGATCAGTCTATAGTCATGACTCAAGATTAGTCTATATCTTGACTATAGATCAATCTGTGATCTTGACTATAGATCAGTCTATGGTCTTGACTATAGATCAGTCCTATATTCTTGACTATAGATCAGTCTATATTCTTGACTATAGATCAGTCTATAGTCTTGACTATAGATCAGTCTATAGTCTTGACTATAGATCAGTCTATAGTCTTGACTATAGATCAGTCTATAGTCTTGACTATAGATCAGTCTATAGTCTTGACTATAGATCAGTCTATAGTCTTGACTATAGATCCAGTCTATAGTCTTGACTATAGATCAGTCTATAGTCCTTGACTATAGATCAGTCTATAGTCCTTGACTATAGATAGATCAGTCTATAGTCTTGACTATAGATCAGTCTATAGTCTTGACTATAGATCAGTCTATAGTCTTGACTATAGATCAGTCTATAGTCTGACTATAGATCAGTCTATAGTCTTGACTATAGATCAGTCTATAGTCTTGACTATAGATCAGTCTATATTCTTGACTATAGAATCAGTCTATAGTCTTGACTATAGATCAGTCTATAGTCTTAACTATAGATCAGTCTATAGTCTTGAATATAGATCGGTCTATAGTCTTGAGTATAGTTTAGTCTATAGTCTGAGTATAGGTTAGTCAATAGTCAAGACTACAGAAATCTCTATTGTCAAAGAATTATGATCTATTGATATAGATCAGTCCATAGACTTGACTATAAATTAGTTATAGTTTTGACTATAATCTGTTTATAGTATTGACTATAGATTACTCTATAATTTTGAAAATAGATCAGTCTATAGTCTTGACTGTAGATCAGTCTATAGATAGATCAGTCTATAGTCTTGACTATAGATCAGTCTATAGTCTTGACTATAGATCAGTCTATAGTCTTGACTATAGATCAGTCTATATTCTTGACTATAGATCAGTCTATAATAGTCTTGACTATAGATCAGTCTATAGTCTTAACTATAGATCAGTCTATAGTCTTGAATATAGATCGGTCTATAGTCTTGAGTATAGTTTAGTCTATAGTCTTGAGTATAGATTAGTCAATAGTCAAGACTACAGAAATCTCTATTGTCAAAGAATTATGATCTATTGATATAGATCAGTCCATAGACTTGACTATAAATTAGTTATAGTTTTGACTATAAATCTGTTTATAGTCCTGACTATAGATTACTCTATAGTTTTGAAAATAGATCAGTCTATAGTCTTGACTGTAGATCAGTCTAGAGTCTTAACTATAGATTAGATCAGTTTATAGTCTTGACTGCAGATCAATCTATACTCTTGATTATAATTCTTTGTATAGTTTTAACTATAGATCAGTCTATAGTCTTTGCTATAATTCTCTTAACAATATATGGTTGTCTCGACTGTTGATCGGTCTTTACTCTAGAGATCGGTCAATAATCTGCAATATAGCCTTAATTCTTCATTATAAATCATTCTATAGTCTTGACTATATATTAGTCCATAGTCTTGACTATAGATTAGTCTATAGTTTTAACTATAGATAAGTCTATAGTCAGGATTATAGAACAGTTTTTAGTCTTGATTATAGATCAGTCTATGATCTTGACTAAAGATCAGCCTATGGTCTTGACCTGAAGTCCTGAATAGATCAATCTATACTCATGAATATATATCAGTCTATAGTCATGACTATATATCAGTCTATAGTCATGACTATATATCAGTGACTTATCAGTCTATGATCTATGGTCTTGACTATAGATTAGTCTATAGTGATTACTATAGATCAGTCTATAGTCATGATTAAAGATTAGTCTATAGTCTTGACTATAGATCAGTCTACGGTCTGTCTATAGTATATATTGACTATAGTTTAGTCTGTGGTCTTGACTATAAATCAGTCTACAGTCTTGACTATAGATCAGTCAATAGTCTCGACTATCGATCAGTCTATACTCTTGACTAGATATCGGTCAATAATCTTCAATATAGACTTAAACAATACTTGATTTCTATAAAAAAAAGTTTAAAGTTAATTTTTTCCCAAATTTTTCTAACGCCAAAAATAAAATGAAATTACAAAAAAAAAACAAACGGTTTTATTTTTAATATTTTATTATTTAATTACTCGGTATTAAGTTTCTTAAAAACTATTTCATTTTTTGTTTAACATAAATGTTACTTTAAGCAATTTAATAAAAAAAATTAAAATAAACTTAAAAGGAAAAAGAAATCGAACGTGTAAATAAACATTTTTATAACTTAAATAATAGTAAAAGTGATTATAATATGTATAAAGTATGTATATAAAGTAAATTAATACATAAATGTATATGAATTAAATTTAAACTTCATATAAATATAAACTAAATTAAAATTCAATATTTTGTTAAATATAAATTAATAGAACTTTTGTTAAAAAAGAAGAATTTCACAAAGCAAAGCTAAAAAACAAAAGCTTAAAACTTGTAATAATAAAAAAAAAGGAAACTTAAAAGCCAGTATTTTATAAAAAAAAAAAACAGTTAAAATATGTATAATAAATGTATTTAATTAAAACTAATGATGAAAATTTTGTTTTTACCAAAATGGACACCAGCCTATGTAGCACTGACACAAATTCTCATTATTGGTGGCCTGTTGTATCAGCATATCCACCTGCTGTTGCACAGTGTAACTGGTTTGTGTGAGAAAATCATTGCCCGTGAGTTTACGTTTAACCCGTTTAATTACCTTACTGGCGCGACTGTTGGTAATGTCGGTATTTGTGGTATTGCCCATTTGAGGAGCAAGTAGAAAATTATTATCGTAGACTTTGGACTTAGTGGCAGTATTGCTGTGTAAGATATTGTCATCAATGGAATTACTCAAACTGCCGGTATTGCCACCACCAGCCATGCCGCCTCCCGAATTATTGGCATTTTTAGTGCGATGATTTTTCGTTTCGGTATCCAATAAACGCCAGTTAAGTAAAGGATCATAGACGAAGGCCTCCAATACAGCCATTAGGGAATCCTTGTTGCGGCGAAGAACTAACATAACACTTTCGCAGGTGCGTCTGTAAGTGCCCTCTATGCCGGTTACCTCCATAGCCTTAATTAACATGCGTGTCAAACGGAAGGGTATTTTTTCAGGGAATTTATCACGTGTCATGGCCACTTCAAAGCAATCACCAAAATCTATATGCAATATTTTGCCACTCATGCGATCCAACATAAGATTAGAAGGATGTCGATCACCCAAACCCAAAATATAACCCACCATAGACATAACAGCCAAGGATCTGGTGTAATTGGTGCGTCTTTCAAACCATACTTCCGAGGAGGGTGACTTAAGCCACAGTAATTTGGCCAAATCATCACCAGGAGTTTGATCAAGAGCATATTCAAACACTTCCACCTTTTGCATTAAAGTCAAATGATCATAATCGGGGGATATGCTCAACATAGTGCGGTGCTCCTGATTGAGCGGAACCTTCTTTTTGTCTCGATAATCTCTTATGAGAGTGTGTAATGTATCACAATGTGGCACCCAGCCTATAAGGCCAGAGTTTGTGCTTAACGGTATGACAGCATAACGTTGTATGGCCAAGTTTCTTCTAAAGGTATCAGGATCATCTAAAAGTAGGGTGTTTACTAAAGAAAACAGCTGCATTACACGTTCATCTTGTCTTAAGTCCTCGTGACCCTTTAGCAAGTACATGTAGTCCTTGCCATTGGAACCGCGAATGCATAATTTGCGTGGTCTCTGTTTGGAGGTGATGACCTGTAGATTGGTTTTGATAAAACTTATTCTAATCAATTCCTGTCCTGGGTTATAAGAGCCGGGAACTGCTAATTCTAAGTCTTTACAGGCCAAAAGTTTGGGTGACACATATGGCAATTCCAGGGAAGTTAATTGAGGCAATTGTCGTGATATCTTTTGGAATACATGATAGTAATTATCCCAAGCATGATCCAGATCCATGAGAGAATTAGAGGACTTGTATCTTTGAGTCCATTCATAGGCCTCGGTTAACTCTCGACCATAGGCTTGCGAAAAGGAGGTTTCTTTAAGAGTTTGTGGTCCCCTCTCGAGCATGGCGTGAAGAGGCTCTAATATTTCAAACATTCCTTTAATATTACGATCACCAAAGTATAAACGTGAGGCCTCCTCCAAACCCTCATGCCACTGTTCATGCCATAAAATGGCCACCCTAATCAATTCCTCACTAATCATCATGGTTTGCTCGACCAAAGTGGGAGAATGTTTGCGCATAGAATCCAATATCTTAAAGGCGGCAGTCTTACGAGCCACCGAGGCGGATTTAGAAGCCACAGTTAAAGGATAAACCAAAGCCTGAGGATGGTATTTTCCAATATCCATTAACAGCTGATGTATCAATTGTCCCACCAGAGTGCGATGGGTGTCAATACGTGCTATTAACTGGGGAATAACCTGCAGCCAAGTGTTAATCTCAATAAGTTTCATGTCCGATAGAAGAGCATCATATATAGCTGAATGATGACCATAATCAAACCACAAAGTCAGCAAACGTAAAGTATCCTGCAAGGAATTGCCCTTAATCAAGCTAATGGAACGGAAGAAGCCATGTACGGCCGGCACAGCATATTGATCTATATACATTCTTTCCTTTTCCGCCAATTTCGATCCACTGTGTATGTCAATGGGTGATTTGGGGTTTTCTAAAGTTTGAGCTTGCACCACCTTAAAGTTCATGTAGGCATACAAATGCCAGGCCTTATACCAGTTGGGATCATAGTCTGTGGCCTTTTCGAAACATTCTAAAGCTCCTTGCACAGCCTCGGGTTCTAGCCCTTGAAGTTTATTTTGCCAAATAGCCAGACGTAGATAGCATCTAGCCAAAAGACGATGATCTTCTTGTTTATACACTGTATCCGGCATACAGTTCAGTTGATTGCTGTAGGTGTTGACAAAGCGGCTTAGTTGGTCATAGGCTCCTTGCATGTTATCGGAGGCAGCCATATGTTTGGTGTAGGCATAAGTTACTTGTGGCAAATCGTAGGGTAATGGATCCAAGGGATTTTCACTGGGATCCGAACCCAATAGCATGACCAAAGTTTTATGCGATTGCTGCAGAGAGCCGGATTTGCGACACAAAGAAGCATACTTCAGCCAGGTGTGTATATCATCATGGGGTCTTACCACCAAAGAGTGTACTTGAATAATTCTACGCCAATCTTCAACTAGACGTTGTCCTCCTTGCAAACGTTTCCACCACATGCATTTCAACGGTTCTCTTCTTTCGGGTATCAGCTTGTATTGTATAACTTCTTCCAGTTCGGCCAACATTTGTACACAAACCATGGCACCATAAGCTCGCTCATAAGATTCTCCTGCCATCGAGGTAAGTTCGGTATCTAAGAGATCTCTAGTCTCATCTATCAAACGTTGAGCCAACTCAAATTCATCATGATGCACTGCCAAAACGGCACGATAGAAGGAGCCATCTTGCGTGTCTTCGGGTATGCATCTAACATATTCCTGCATGGCTTCCCAATCCTGTAAACCCCAAGCAGCAACAGCGGCTAGAGGGCCAGCCTTAGATTTGATGTCTTTACCAAAGGAATCCCATTCCTGCTTGGCCACACGACTCAGCTGAGACCATTCACCCAAAGACTCTAAGCAGCGCATAGAACCCAGTCTTGATTCCATATCATTGTTATCCTGCTTCAAATTGCGTTGATAATGTATTAAAGCCTGATCCCAGTTGTGCAGCTTCTCATACCATCTACCTTGAACCTTAAGTTCATCTTTAAAACGGGAATTTTCCCCACCCACAGCATTGCGATAAGTGGTGAGTAGACCCTCGGCCGCTTCTTTCTGCTGCAGTTTGTTATTAATCAAAATCAAGGACTCAAAGACATGAGGATCTTTATGGCTAACAAACTCCTCCTCCTTGTAACGCAAGGCCTTGGCATAAGCACGACAAGCCATGGCTCGGGTACCCAATAGTTTAGGATCAATTAAAATGGGATCTTTATCACAATGCTCCATAAATTCGGCCAAATTCAAAATGGTTTGAGTAATCTCGGGCATATCGGTGACTTGTAAAGCCTGTATCAACGACTTGGTCAATTCGTTTTTATGTTCGGTGGACAGTTCTGTCCAGCAGGAAATAAAGGCAGCATTAAATAAATCTCTTAAAAGTTTATCATAATCTTCGGCCAAAACACGGCAAGCACGCAAGGCATGGGATCTGGACTCTCTTAGCAAACCAATAGATAAACGTTTTAACCATTCCACCCAATCGTCTTTGGAAACACGGCGATTAACTTGCCAAGCCATGCATAGCTGAGCCGTGGATACATTTAGTTTTTTTATGGTGGTGTTGGCATCACTCATGGCATTAGAGGCAGTAGTGGCTTTGTATTTCGTTTGTCTCATTAAGAACTCCTCATCCAGACACATGGTGGTATTCGACTGGAGTTTCGAGAGCAATTTTTCATATTGCGAGTTGACGATGCGCTGCTTGGTGATGGTGCGATTAACTAAGGGAGCAAAAACCAAATACTTCTTGCCCAATTGTATAACCAAAGAGCACAAAGTGGACATGGCTTGATCACGCAAATCGGGTTCATTATCTAACACTCTGACCAAGGGATGTATGATGCGTGAAGAGAAATCGGTAAAATCTAGATTCCAAGCCAACTGATCGATAGTTTCCAAAGCCACCAAAGATACCTGTTGGGGTACATAGGGTGAATCGAATAGCTTAACTATGGGCGGCACTATTAAATGCAAATAGTCGTCTAAGTTATTGCCAAATTTCTTTAAAGCCTGCAGTAAACGTTTGGTAACATTACGATCTTTGGAGTTATCATGCTGCAAAACGCGCAAGATTTGTGGTATCAATTGAGCCAAATAGTTCCGAAATTCTCCTCCCAAGGCCACAGCTATCTGTTCTATTAGATTGATGAGAGTAGACTGTAAGGGTGTATTATTAGTCCAAAACTCCTTAATCAATTTGAAGATATCATTCATATAGGTGATGATGTGTTGACGTACTATTTCCACCAAAATGGCCAATTGTTGGAATAAAAATTCTCTTAAATTATTATTGGCAGTGCGTACATTTTCCAAGAGACTGGGTAATACCTGAGACAAATACGGCACACATTTAATGCCTAAACTTTGGAAAATATAAGTAACTGCCTGGACGACACTGGTATGACGGCTGCTTAAAGTGGGATCTCGTAAAATGCGCATGAGAGCAGCTATAGCTACAGCAGGATAATATTCATCTAATATATTGCCCATATTGACCAACAGTTCGGCAGTGGATATATCTTGATTCTCTTCCACTTTGTAATCGGTTAGCGAAATCAAAACACTATCATTTTGACTGTCTATCAAACCCTTGTTCATTTTATGTTTATAAGGATCCATGGCTCCCAAAAGACCCAAAACACGTATGGTCTCTCGTCTAATAGAGCGTCTTTGTTCGGTTTTCAAAAAGTTTATCAATATATCTATTAAAACCGGGTACTTATGATAAGGAGTAACTACACGTCCTGTAGCACTAATCAATTGACCCAATGTCCACAGAGCAACACCTCTTTTATCCGGAGAACCTGCATCTCCCAACATTTCCAGTAAAATAGAAAGTAAATCATCTGCCCACATTTCCATTTCATTCGAACCACCGTTCACTTCGGCCAAATCTCCTATGGCTCTTAAAACATTTAACACCACGCCCGGATTGGATTCAGGTTCTTTTAGTTTTGGTACTAATATCGTTAATATGGGATTCATATAGGATGAAATCAAACGTGGTGTACTAATCACCAAATGATCCAACATTCTAGCACTTTGTTCTTTATTACGGCTCATACCGGAATGTTCCAATTCGGTTAGCAATTGAATCATAACTCTTCTCAGTTTAGGCATGACATAAGCCGGATTCATGGCCGATAAACGACCTATGGTAACCATAGCCAATTCACGTATTTCAAATATTTCATCATTTAGGGTGATAAAGAGAGCACTTAAGGATTCTGGTTGAGCCAACTCGGCATCGAAGGTTTCATCGAGTAAACGTAAAATACGTACTCTTACATTACAGTCCATATCGGTAATGGCTACTATTAATAAACGTTCAATAGCATGGGATACCGTATCACTGAGAGTTTTTGAATTTTCAGAAGTATCGGCGTTTTGCACAGCTAACTTGAGTAGTCGTGTACAACTTTGTACCGCCTCCAAGCGAATTTCCTGATGCTCGTGATTAATATAGTAATCGGCGCATCTAAAAATAAGAAAATATTTTATTTATAAATAACAATTATGATCAACGAAAAGAAGCTTTTTTTCGTTGAAAAAACTTTTTATAAAACAATAAAAGAAAAATTCGGAAAAAAAGCTTTTCCACAGAAAAACTGTTTCTTCATAGAAAATAAGCTTTGTGATAAAAAAAAATTGCTTTTTTATAAAAAGCATTTTATAAAAATAGTTTTTATAGAAATAAAGCTTTGTCATAGACAACATTTTTTAAAGAGCTTTCTCATAGAAAAACTGCTTTTTTAGGATAAATAGAAGGGTATTGTATATATAAAAAAAGCTTTTTTATGGAAAAAATTTTTTATAAAATATCTTTTTTATAAAATATCTTTTTTATAAAAAAACTTTTTTTGTAAAAAGCTTTTTATAAAAATAGTTTTTCCTAGAAAGAAACTTTGGTATAGGAAGGAGCTTTTTATTGAAATTATGCTTTTTCATAGAATTTTTTCACAAGAACTTTGTAATTGAAAGGATTTTTAAAGAGCTTTTTTATTGAAAAAAAAATTAAAAAAAGATTTTTTCATAGAAAAAAGCTTTCCTATAGAAAAAGAGTTATTCATAGTAAAAAGCTTTATTTTCATATAAAAAAAAACATGTTTAACACAAAAAAGTAAATTTTTCAAAGAAAAAAGATTTTAAAAAAAAAATATTGTTTTTTTTATAAATAAAGAGCTTTTTCAAAGAAATACATGAATAGCTTTTTTATAGAGAAAGTGTCTTCCCATAGATAAAAGAGCTTTTTTAAAGAAATACATGAATAGCTTTTTTATAGAGAAACTGTCTTCTCATAGATAAAAGGTGCTCCTTCTTAATAAGAGCTTTTTCATATAAAACGAGCTTCCTCAATGGAAGAGTATTTTTATAGGATGACCTTTTTCAAAGAAATAAAATTTTCATAAAAAAGTTTTTCGATAGAAAAAGGGTTTTTTCATAGAAAGAGTATTTTCATAGAAAAAAGCTTAATTTTTCACAGAAAACGAACTTTCCATTAAAGAAATTTTTCATTAAGGAGTTTTTCAATAAAAAGCTTTTTTATAAAAATGAAATATTTTAATAGAAAAAATATGTTCACAGGAGCTTTTCATAAAAGTTCATTTCCATAAAAAAGCTTTTCATAGAGAAGCTTTTTATATTTTTTTATAAAAAAAAATTTTCATAAACAAATAATATTTTTTCATATAAAAAGATATTTTTTTTTTTTGATAAAAATGTTCTCATCGCCACAAAGCTTTATAAACAAAAAATATTTTTTACTAAAAAAAAAAAAAAAATTTATCTCACCTTTGCACAAAATCCAACATATTTTGTTCCTCAAAATTAAACGAACCCAACGTACGCAAAGCCAAAACAATGGTCGGAACATCTTGTGATAAATTCATGGATGAATCCATAGATACTGGACCCGACATCATATTGCCATAATTCATACCAGCCGGTTTATTCATTAAAATTTGTGATAGAACACCTATTAAGCCATCAGCTATGGCAGACTTCAAAAATGGTACATTCTCAGCCAATTCTCGTAGACAAACCGTGAGGGCGGGAGAAAGGCCAGTTGAAAACATTTGTTCTAAAATATCCCGCACATCATTATTAATGCCGGCCTTAACAGCATGAGCCAGTAGAGTGATGCAAGCAAATATAGCCGGATCAATGGCGGCTTTACGTTTGCTAGTGGCCTCTTTAGGTGGTAAAGCTACCTTAATGGCCATCATAATGGTTTTCAAATATTTATCAATGTCACTCTCCACAGCCACGGCTATATAGCCGATTGTAATGTAGGCTATATTGCGATCTTTTTCTTTGCCCTTTAACACCATCAACAGATGATTGATGCAAATTTTCAAATATTTTTGTACAAAAATTTCACGATTTATGGCCGCCAGACGGGGTAGAATTTGTAAAAGAGCCTGTTGTACATAAGTCGATTTGGAGTTTCTTTGTTCTATGATATTTTCACATATGATGGTATAATGTTCCATAATGACCTCACGAGCATAAGAGGATTCTAAGATGTTGCTCTAGTATTAAAGAAGGAAATATTTGAACTAGGTTTTAAAATGTTTAATTTTTTCCCGACTTACCGTATTAAATTTATGGTTGGACACCTGATGCTGTTCACCCAATTCCACCAAATGTGTGGAACCTAATTTCTTAACAAAAGGCGCTTTTAATCGCGGTACTATAGTGGTCAATTGATGTCCCCCGCCACTAGAACTACTGCCACCACTACCGCCCACATAATTCACCCCTGCACCATCACCCAATTTACAGGATAAAGCATCTGGTAGCAGGGCTTTTAAAGTATTATAACGCCGCTCCCAATTGGCATTGGAGCAGCGAAACAATTCGTTAAATATAATCATGCTGCCGTGTATACGATCATCTCGTGTCATGCCTTTGGGTTCTTTTTGTAGCAAGGCAGGATCTTCATTGAAACTTTTGATAGCTTCAGCATAGGATATTTTATACCATTGAGGTTCACTAGACTGTTTGGTATTCTCTCGCTGAGAAGTGACTATCAAGGCGGCTCTTAAAGCCTCACCGGCTGATTCACGTATAGCCGGTTTGGGATCGAAAATAGCATTAAAAATGTGATCAAAGAAAGTGGAAATTTGTTGATAGAAATAGGTGGGCATGGCCACGGCCAATTCACGCAATATAAAAACAGCAGCATGGCGACGATACTATAAAAAATATTTCAGTTTTAACAACATTAAAATGTTTATCTATTTTAATAAATACCTCATGCCGGTCACCACTTAACCACTCAAAAGCTCTTTTTATATCAAATTCAAATGATTCTGCTCCTTTGGACCCGGGCAAATTGGCCAATTTCACCAGTGTGCGTGCGGCTATTTCCATGACAGACACATCATTGCAAGGCAATAAATCACGCAAATGATTATAGTATTTGGTAATACGTTTCATGGTATTTATAACATCACCACTAACCAGACATTCTAAAAATACATAAATGAACATTAAAAAAGCTTCCAGAACAACTAAATCCAGCATTACTACTCACTTATGGCCAACACGCCACCCTTTTTCTCATTTATATCTGTCGACATGACCATACTGAATATTTGATCATTGAAATCTTCAAAAAATTGCACCAATTCCTCCTGGGACATTTCCCTGAGTTCGGTCTTAACATACAGGAAAAGATCCTGGGCCGCTTTATTCTGCACATTGCGATTCCGAGACTTCAGACCCGTCACAAATTGTTGCACAATCGATGTGGTCGACATTTTAAAACACTTTATTATCCTTTTAATACGTTTGCAGTTGTTTATTTGTTAAACTATTTGATGTAAAACTATAAAATTTTATTCTTTATTGGTTTTTAGTAAAATTTCTTAAAAAAAATTTCAACTACATTTCATTTTTTTCACTAATCGCGTATCATGAAATGTAATTTTTTTCTCGTCTCTCTTTTAATCCCGTTCAGCTGTCAAATGTTAATGAATGAATTTTGTGCATACATTGAGGTTATGTCAGTCTATCTTGTTTTTTGTTTTGTCTTGTTATTCGTAAATGTCAAATGGCATTTGTTTTGTCGTTTTGTATGTAAACAATGG